ACTTCTATTAGATGGGGTTGATTTACTAAAACTGGAGAGCGCAAAATTTGGTGCATCTCTACAAAGAAACCAATCTGCGTTCATGTTTTTTTGTTTTTTTTTTTGGTCAAAACTTAATTGAAAAAGCTGAAGTTATAAGTTGATTAGATACCATGCACAGCTGCACCAGAATTTGCACTCTCCAGTTTTAGTAAATCAACCTCTTTGTATGTATTTTGCTTATGTTTCACGTATTTAAGTACATCAAATAGCAGTCATTATTTCATTATCATAAAATGTCAGAGATGGGTATGTTTGTACAGGCTGGATAGGTCTGCTCTTCTTTCGCTAAGAGCAGTGTCAGTGCCTGTCAAAAGCATAGCCATATGTCTACAGAAAGAGTGTGGTGAGGATTGCAAGACTTCCAGTAAAATGTGATTGTTCTGGAAGTTATGGCAGAATATTTCAACATTCACCCTGGGGTGTGTTTGCTGTTAGTGGGAAAGCATTTGCTAATCAGCTAAAAAGGACATTGGAAGCTGTTTGTTTTGGAAAGGTTTAAATCTTACACCTGAGGGACGCTTTCTTATATGAGCTGCTATTTTATATCCTTGGCACAATCTCTACACCCATAATGACAATTGTTGTTGACAGTGTAGCATGTGGACCTCAGGTTCAGTCTGTGACAGCATGCATTTTAATATAGGATTATCTGTTGTCTGTCACATCTTTTATTCTATGTAGTTATCACAACTAAGTAGACTTACATATATTAGGAGAATTCTGTTCTGGCAGATATTTGCTCTTTGCTAGTGAATGGGGAGCTTTTGTTTGATTTGCTGATGTATAATGAATTGTTAGCTGTCAGTACCTAAACCACAAGTGAGCAGGTGATGATTACCTTTACTCATCTCATTTCATGTCATTTCCATCCTAGTTAGGGCCTTTCTTGACGGGCTTTTGTATATCATATCACAGCTCACTGCTGCTCATTTGCAGCATCTCCTGTTCTGGGCCAGCTAGACAAACTTTTATGGGTTTGCTAGATGTATAGGCTTGTCTGTCAAAAAAACGAAATGTCGTTTGGACTAGGTAGGCTTTGTCTAGGGCCAGAAAGACAGAGATACCAGAAAGACTATTCTACTCTCACAACAGGCTAAAAACATTTGAAGAAAGAAATTGTGCCTTTTATCTGTTGATGTAGAAAAACCCAGCTTAATGGTCTTTCTTGAAATCTGACCTCCTATAAATTGGCTTAGGTCCCATTAATTTTGTTTCTTTACACCAAGCCAAACACATTATTGTTAATAAACTGTATGTACAATTTCCAATACATAATGGAACCAGGCAGGGATCTTCTCTGTCACTTCCTCTACATCGCTGGGGTGGAGCGTCTTGCCAATGTTTTCAATAATCTAAACATCGGAGTATCCATGTACGTGAACACCACTGTCTTTTTGCAGTTGATTTGCTACTCTATATAACCTTTCCCTACTTATCTATGCCATCAGTCCCTAAGGAATTTTAAAGATTTTGCAATTTTAGCAACTTCCAAGTGAATCTTTCCAAATCAGAAATACTTAATATTTCCCTCCCACCATTACAACTGGCAAAAATTCAATCTAATCAACCCAAGCAACTCTTGCCTTATTCGCCAGGATCAATGGTTCTGAAAATGGATATACTGTCGTGCCTCCTGCATCTGTTCTAAAGAATACCTATAATCTTGTCTGCTCTTCCCTCGGTCCAAAACATTTTCAGGAAATTTGATTAGCTTACTGCACCCTTACCCTCTCAAAACCTAGAGGTGGACCAGAATTTGTAGGTATCACCTTATACCACAGAGTCTCCATACTAACCAGTTTTGTGGATTGGTTTCAAAATGAGAGGGTAAAAGGAATGGGTGGCCACTGAAATGCTTTCGTACCTTTTTGGACCTCAAATATCCCCCCTAGATAGACAGAAACCACAAAAACGCAGCAGCCACCTACCCGTTCTTCTCTCAGCACCTCTTCCAAACTTGATACACAATGCTTAGTAACATCTTCCTTCACTGCCTAGTTCCATGACCCTTCTATATGGCCATCCTGACTTCTCTCCCACAGTAGGCAGGTAGCAATTTCTACTGTGGAATAACTTGGACCACCCACAATTGCTCTCAGAACTAACAAATGGTCAATTGCTCCCCAACCCACCCTACAAAAAGATTAATCCACCCACACCCTGTCCTGGTTTTGTACTACCAAATTAAATCATTCTTACAGTGGAGTAGAATGGAGAGAACTGACGAACACCCAATTGGAAAAAACCCTCCAAACGACTTGTGTAATCTCTGAAAGATCCTACATGATACTTATCCACAACTAACAAATAATGGGATCAGGAACTCAATGTACATCCAACCCCAGAGGACTGTGGAAAATCTTTAAGTCTATCACATAGGCTTTCTCTCTGCCCTACATAGCACAGGAGAAAAGCTTAAAATCCTCACCCAATGGTATTGCTGCCCTGTACCATTCTCTCATTACTCCTCCAAACTCTCAGAGAAAAGTTGGAGAGGCCTTACTCCCACAGAGGCACTATATCTTAGATAGGGTGGGATGCCAATCAGTCAATAAACTATCCTCGCCACAGCTTTTCCATTACCCTTTTTGTCCATTCTACCTACCCATATCTCAGTTAAAGAATATTTTGAGCCATTCCCCACTGCATCTTAAAACATTATCTTAGACATTGACGCTAGGCACAATAGAATAGTTGGTGGCAGAAAACATTTAATTGTCTTAATCTGTTTTGACAAACCTAGGTATTCTGTGTAGTATTCCTCTCACCCTCCAGTTAGGGCCTTTGTTCAGTGAGTTGTTCACATCTCTCCCCGTTTATTTCCTTGTATCACCTTGGAAGTGGAACTATACTTGCCTCTACTCCAGTGATGCTATATCTATGAGTACTCCCACTGGGCGCCTGCATCTTTGGCTGGTCATCTTCAGGGTTCAAGTTTTCATCCATTTTTGATTATCTTGTGCATGGGCAGATGTTTAATCATCTTAGCAAATGCTGAAATTGTACACTGAGTTGCGCTTACCCCCGAGCCCTTTGTGACAGCAGGCCAGAGATCTTCTCCCCAGACCTGCTGTTAAAAGTAAAACAAAAAAAGCAGCCGTGCAGTGCTCCGGCCACCCAGCTTCATCATTCTTTCAGAGTTCTGTGAATGGGAGAACTAAATCTAATGGCTGTTGGCTTGTGGTTATCAATGAACTACCAGGGAGCTGGTGAGCTTTTTTTTTTTTTTTTTATATATATATACAGTGGGGCAAAAAAGTATTTAGTCAGCCACCAATTGTGCAAGTTCTCCCACTTAAAAAGATGAGAGAGGCCTGTAATTGGCATCATAAGTAGACCTCAACTATGAGAGACAAAATGAGAAAAAAAAAATCCAGACAATCACATTGGCTGATTTGAAAAGAATTTATTTGCAAATTATGGTGGAAAAGAAGTATTTGGTCACCTACAAACAAGCAAGATTTCTGGCTCTCACAGACCTGTACCACCTTCTTTAAGAGGCTCCTCTGTCCTGCACTCATTACCTGTATCAATGGCACCTGTTTGAACTTGTTATCAGTATAAAAGACACCTGTCCACAAGCTCAAACAGTCACACTCCAAACTCCACTATGGTGAAGACCAAAGAGCTGTCGAAGGACACCAGAAACAAAATTGTATACCTGCACCAGGCTGGGAAGACTGAGTCTGCAATAGGCAAGCAGCTTGGTGTGAACAAATCAACTGTGGGAGCAATAATTAGAAAATGGAAGACATACAAGACCACTGATAATCTCCTTCTATCTGGGGCTCCACGCAAGATCTCACCCCGTGGGGTTAAAATGATCACAAGAACGGTGAGCAAAAATCCCAGGACCACACGGGGGGACCTAGTGAATGACCTGCAGAGAGCTGGGACCAACGTAACAATGGCTACCATCAGTAACACACTACGCCACCAGGGACTCAGATCCTGCAGTGCCAGACGTGTCCCCTTGCTTAAGCCAATACATGTCCGGGCCCATCTGAAGTTTGCTAGAGAGCATTTGGATGATCCAGAAGAGGATTGGGAGAATGTCATATGGTCAGATGAAACCAAAATAGAACTGTTTGGTAAAACACAACTCGTCGTGTTTGGAGGAGAGAGAATGCTGAGTTTCATCCAAAGAACACCATACCTACTGTGAAGCATGGGGGTGGCAACATCATGCTTTGGGGCTGTTTCTCCGCAAAGGGACCAGGACGACTGATCCATGTACAGGACAGAATGAATGGGGCCATGTATCGTGAGATTTTGAGTGCAAACCTCCTTCCATCAGCAAGGGCATTGAAGATGAAACGTGGCTGGGTCTTCCAACATGACAACGATCCCAAACATACCGCCCGGTCAACGAAGGAGTGGCATCGTAAGAAGCATTTCAAGGTCCTGGAGTGGCCTAGCCAGTCTCCAGATCTCAACCCCATAGAAAACCTTTGGAGGGAGTTGAAAGTCCGTGTTGCCCAGCGACAGCCCCAAAACATCACTGCTGTAGAGGAGAACTGCATGGAGGAATGGGCCAACATACCAGCAACAGTGTGTGCCAACCTTGTGAAGACTTACAGGAAACGTTTGACCTCTGTCATTGCCAACAAAGGATATATAACAAAGTATTGAGATGAACTTTTGATATTGACCAAATACTTATTTTCCACCATAATTTGCAAATAAATTCTTTCCAAATCAGCCAATGTGATTGTCTGGATTTTTTTTTTTTCTCATTTTGTCTCTCATAGTTGAGGTCTACCTATGATGCCAATTACAGGCCTCTCTCATCTTTTTAAGTGGGAGAACTTGCACAATTGGTGGCTGACTAAATACTTTTTTGCCCCACTGTATATGTATTTTATTTTTTTAGAAAAACATTACTTTGTAGTAGAAAGATTGTTGTCGTTTCAAAGATTGATCATTTATACAGTATATAATTTTCTTTTCTTTCATAGGGTACGTGTGTATGACATGCGATGCAGCAAATCTCTCTGTTCTTTTTATGCTCACCACTTGGGTGTCTCAGCTGTTCGCATGGATGACTGGAAAGTGGTCTCTGGAGGAGAGGAGGGTCTGACCTGTACATGGGACCAGAGGATGGGCACCAAACTCTGGGAGATGCACGCAAGGTACTAATTTTGTTATTTGGCTGTGTGTATATGTGTGTGTGTGTGTGTGTGTGTGTGTGTGTATATATATATAAATAAATCTGCGAGGACTGCACTTACACAGTTCACTGAAGAAAAAGTGGTGGTGCATGTAAACATTTACACTAAATAGTGGTATAGGAGCAGGGTTTCAGTGATTTGTAGTGATCACAGAGTGGAACAAGTGTCAATAAATGGCGGACCGTGGTCCGGAGAAGGACAGAGTGACAGTCCTGTCCGGACTAGGACTGTACCACTTAGCAGCCTGAGTGGACTCCTTTACTCTTGCCACTGCAGATGTTAAAAATCCCAGCATTGTGGAGGGGGGGAGGAATGGCAGGGTGGACTCCTCTTCTGTGTGACCTGTCCTCCTACCACTGCTGTTGAAGTCACAGTAGGGAAGAAAGCGGGAGGCATGGCAGGGTGGACTCCTTTTCTGAGTGTACTAGTCGCTGCCGCTGCTGAACTCACTGCAGGGAGGAGGGCAGGAGGCACAGAAGGTCTACAAAGGGAACGGACGCGCTGCCCAAACTTTAATATTAACAAGCAGGTCACTCACCTTTTGCCAAGAATAGTTGGGCGTTTTCCACCCTCAGTGCAGACCTTCCGTGTCTCCTGCCCTCCTCTATGCAGTGAGTTCAGCGGTGGCAGTGACGAGTACACTCAGAAGAGGAGTCCACCCTGCCATTCCTCCCACCCTCCTCCCTACAGTGAGTTCAGCGGCGACAAGTACATTCAGAAGAGGATTGCACTTTGCCATTCCTCCTGCCCTGCACACTATTGAGTTAAGGTAGAGGGAAGAATACGGGAGGACTTTGATGTCAGAGGGGGGAAGCTGTGATTGGGGGGCTGGGAAGTGAGGGGGGGCTGTAAAATGGGGGGCCATGAGTAGGGAGCTGTGAAATGGGGTATAATTGGGGGGGGGGGGTGTAATACTGGGGGCTCTGATGTGAGGGCGAAGCTCTGATATGGGGGGGGGCTGTGATGTGATGAGGAGGAGCTATGATATTGGGGGCTGTGATGCGGGAAGCTGTGATGTGAGAGAGGGAGCTGTGTGTTGGATGGGCTGTGATGTGAGAGAAGGCAGCTCTGATATGGGGTCTCTGATGTAAGGGGAGGCTGTGATGTGAGAAGGGGGAGCTGTGATATGGGGGGCTATGATGTGGGGGGGGGGCTGTGTTGTAAGAGGTAGCTGTGATGTGAGGGGGAGGCTGTGATATGGGGTCTGTGATGTAAGGGGGAGCTGTGATATAAGGGGGTGATGTGAAATGGGGGAGCTGTGATGTGAGAGAGGAGACCTGTGATATGGGGGGGGCTGGAATGTGAGAGGGGGGAGCTATGATTTGAAGGGTCTGTGGTGTGAGGAGGAGGGCTGTGATTGAAAGGGGGCTGTGATTGAAAGGGGCTGTGATGTGGGGGTTGTGATTGCAAGGAGGACTGTGATGTTGGGGGGCTCTAATGGGAAAGGGAGTTGGGCTTTAATGTTGGGGGGCTCTGATGGGAAAGGGAGTTGTAATGTAAAGAGGGGGTGTGATGGGAAAGCCCCGAGTCATAGAAGAAAAATTGGATTTGGACCTCCTGAGGAAAGAAAATGTTACCAATCAGACCTCCGTAAATTTTAATTCAGCATCCCTGGTGTAGAGCTAGCACAACCCGTAAATCATTATCAGCTTCTATAGCACGGCTCCCAGGCTCAAAGGTCTCTGAAAACCTCCAGTCTTACATGAACATAGGTAAAGGCTGGCGCTAGTGTAGATCAGCTAAAATATGTAGTCCTTTATTGGTAACGGTGATGAAAATCCAATGGTTTTCAGCCATGAATAAGGCCTGAAGGCAGAAACACATTGGGTTTTATGGCTTTTTGGCACTGTCATCAATAAAGGACTGCATGCTTTAGCTAATCTACACTGGTGCTAACTTTTACTTATGTTCATTGTACTGATCACAAAGTCAGAGGATGGGAAGGCTACAAAGGTTACATCTTTCTATCGTACATACATTCAGGTCAGCTCATAAAGCAAAACTAAACCCAGAAAGCTGCCATCTTGGCTTCTGATATGCACTTGCCGTAGTGTTGATCACATGATCAGTTATGACACCAGCCATTTGATTACTTGGCAGTTAAGTTCAGGGTAAAAGCAACCGTGACAGTTCATTCATGGCATGCCTTGAATATACTATAACTTTTGGGAAACTGTTAAAACTTTGGGTTTAGTTCTAATTTAAAGTGGAACTTTAGGCCAAAATTAAAAATGGGCAAACAGACAGGAAGTTTAATGCAGAAGAGACCTGCTTTGTCTCTTTTGCATTAAAGTTACTTGCCTGCCTGTCCACCCTTGCAATGCCAGATCTGACTGAACTCCTCCTGCTTTCATGTCTGAGTAACCTCATTCCTGCCGGCCAATGAAAGCGGCTGGAGATCAAGACCTGGAAGCCAGCCACCCGAAAATGTCAGCAGCTGGGTGGGGAGCTTGGCGATGGTGCATCGCTGGAGCCGAGGTTAATGTAGTTCCAATAAAATTCATAGCTAAAACATCACTAATAATCTAAAACAATAGTATTTCTAACATTATCTAAAAATATATGGTTGTAACATACAAAGTGTTCACAGTGCATAATGTGCTTACAATGAACATAAAAATATTTATAGACCTGTGTCCACTCCACCATAAAAAGTTCAGAATGTGCTTCACAGACAAGTGGATAAGCCAATGTTGTATAGTTCAAAATAATGCTCCATTCACAAGTTGAACTACAGCATTCCTGTGCACACCCTTTGGACAGCTCCTACTCACCAGAAAAGATGGACCTTTGTTACAAAACAAAGGGTAAAATCACTTAATATAATGGCCAGGAATCTCTCCTTCTCCTCCCCAGACCTAGAATCTTCCGCTCACAAACCGGAAGAAACAGAAGGGCACTCATCGCCTAAAACCATTAGTAACCTGTTTTTTAAAAGCAGAATGTAAAAAGTCACATTTGTTGATACCTAGAACATCGGTACAAAATAAAACTCTCTATAGCCTGTGGTAACTACAGCTGTTCCACACAGGAGCCTGCTTATGTTCCACTGTGTTTAACTGAAACTGGATGTGACGTCAGAACCGACCAGTCCTGCTCCAATGCATTTCGCCAGTGGGCTTCCTCAGGAGACATTTTCATGTCACATTTTTTAGGTAAAGTTTCACTTTAGGATTGGACAAATAGAACAGCACTAACAATGTTTGTTAGCCACTGACATTAACACTGATATAATAAAATTAATGCTGACAGAGAGCATATGTAAACAAGAAAAAATCAGCGAACGCTCAACTATAACAGCCGCTAATGCACCAAAAAAAAGGAACCACAAATCCTCTCAATAGATAAGCAAAAACAGAAAATAGTGCAGCGCTTAAAAGATATGTACATATAAAATATATACTGTGACATAATCAACAGGAATCCATATTAGTATGCGTTTACATCAAAAACCAATGTTGTGCAAAAGTCCCATAAATACATGCAGATGGTGATATATACCGAGTGCAATCTCAACAGTGAACTTGTGAACAGTTCTAAAATCAGGTGCACATCATAAGGACCCCTGCGTGAAGTAATAATCATCCGGTGGTGTACGACGGAATAGTAGGATTGCAAATTCACCAGAAGTGCAATCTTAATGCGCGTTAGACATATAAATCAGCCTGAGGATCTCCCCTCTCATGGAGTACCACCTGGTATGGGAACCTCCTCCTCTGTCAGTCTGGGCGTTAAATGGTGTCAGAGGACCTTTAACTGGGCTGCGTTGCAATATGGTCTGGTCGCAGGAAAGATTCCCATCTCTGGGCTGGAAAAACGCATCTGGGGTCCTAGGGGGTTTAAATGCTCATGGAGGAGCAACAAATATGGGAACCCATAGTTTATTATGCTTATAAATTTATTGGGAAATTATCCAGATATAAAACAGAAATTAATGGTGTACACACTTGTGGTAAAATGAATTACCGTATTTTTCGCTCCATAAGACGCACCTGACCATAAGACGCGCCTAGGTTTTAGAGGAGAAAAAAAAAAAAAAAAAAAAATATTCTGAACCAATGGACTGCAGACATAGTACAGGAAGTGACCAGACACTGCGGACACAGTACAGGAGATGACCAGAGACTGCAGACAGTACAAGAGATGACCAAAGACTGCGGACACAGTACAGGAGAAGGACCAGAGACTGCGGACACAGTACAGGAGAAGGACCAGAGACTGCAGACGCAGTACAGGTGATGAACAGAGACTGCGGACACAGTACAGGAGATGGACCAGAGACTGCGGACACAGTACAGGAGATGGACCAGAGACTGCGGACACAGTACAGGAGAAGGACCAGAGACTGCAGACGCAGTACAGGTGATGACCAGAGACTGCGGACACAGTACAGGAGATGGACCAGAGACTGCGGACACAGTACAGGAGATGGACCAGAGACTGCGGACACAGTACAGGAGATGGACCAGAGACTGCGGACACAGTACAGGAGATGGACCAGAGACTGCGGACACAGTACACGACAATGGACCAGAGACTGCGGACACAGTACACGAGATGGACCAGAGACTGCGGACACAGTACAGGAGATGGACCAGAGACTGCGGGGACAGTACAGGGGATGGACCAGAGACTGCGGACCTTTAGGGAGGGAGGGGGAGCGGGTACCTGAATTTGACAGGTGCCCGCTCCCACTTCCGCGGAGTTCTCCTTCCTATACTGTGGGCACCCGACTTTGACAGCTGGGTGCCCACTGCACATGCGCGAGAAGCGCTGCACTTTGTGAATGTCCCGGCGTCTTTTGGGACCTGTCGTGTCCCAGAAGACACGGACCATTCACAAAGTGCAGCGCTTCTCACGCATGCACAGTGGGCACCCGGCTATCACAGATGCCGGCGCGGGTAGACTACACCGCTGGACCGAGGAACAGGTGAGTTCCTGCCGCAGAGAACAGCTGAGCAGCCGGCCCGGTATTCTGACATGGCGGTGGCAACGGAAATACCGGACCGGCCGCTTTATATTCGCTCCATAAGACGCACTGACATTTCCCCCCCTTTTTTGGGGGGAAAAAAGTGCATGTTATGGAGTGAAAAATACAGTATAAAGATGACATGCAGCTTGGAAACCAAATTAGGCAAGTGCAGGAGTAATGTATAGCCTAGGACTGTGTTTGTCACTAACCAGTCAGCATGGAAAGATGGCTGCCGGACCTCCGTGATCCGGCGGCGTGACGTCACGCGTAGCGAGGCTCCTCCTTGACACGTTTCGTATTAACATACGTCCTCAAAAGGGGTGTTGCCTAGTGTTAAAGAGCAATTGCACTCTGGAAGCCCAAAAAGGCAGGCATAGGGCAAAGGCCTAATGGTCAGTATTGGCTTGTCTGCATTCTGTCTCTGTGTGGAGTCAGTCGTCTTAGTAGAGACAGGGTTTTGCTTCCACTCATGTCGGAGGTCAAGCAAGGAAAGGTAAGGAGCACAATAGTGACACCACCAAATCTCCTGAGACTAGTAATAGCAAAAGTGCATTAGATCTCACACTGCAGATATACAGCTATGAGACTACAGACACAAGAGTGCCTAAGGGCACTCACCTTCAGGGAGGTACTCCTATTTTTCATGAAACATTTTAGACAAAGGCACATTTTTTTTCATGGTACTGCTTAGGCATACCTAACATTTTTAAATATTCTCTATAACAGCAAATCTTCACCTTTTTAGTTCAGGTTCACTATAATACTGACCTGAATTCGTTGTTACTGGCATGATGAGCTTGGTGCTGAGAATCCTTAGACTAAAACATGCGGCCCCACCTTCAGGTTTGATGTAGCGGAGCTTGTTAATAAGAATGTTACTTGATATATTATGTGTACTTTGGGTAACAATCATTACTAATCTCTATCAACAACTAATAGCAAATCAAATGTTTTGAGGTTTACTGTATACATACTGAATAGCAA